GGCCGGTGCACGAAGTACGCGCAAAGGTCGGAACCTTAGGGCACGCGTGCTGATCGACTCCGGTGCTTCCGGTAACTTCGTCTGCTCTGAATTCATAAGGGATCTCAAGAAGGAAGACTTACCGTTTACTACCCTTACCTAAACCAGTCAGGATCCTGATGGCTCGTGGCCAAAGCTCTGTCTCGTCAACCACGGCTACTCTTGCTCTCAGTATGGGCGACGAGGTAATGAGAGAAACGGGAGTCGTCGTTGATAATTTGAGATACGATATCATCCTAGGGCAACCCTGGCTGCGAAAGTGGAACCCGCAGGTAAATTGGCGTACTGGAATATACAAATGGCAAGGTCGAAAAGGTTGGCAGGCGATACGCAGCGTAAGGGAGGAAAATAATGGCCAGCTGGCTTCAAATATTGAATCTACCGGGGCGAGCGACAATAAGAGCGTTAAGGAAACTGCAGAAAGGACAATGGAAGGAGACGTCATAGAAAGTGTCGCAGAGACAGTGGCAGGCACAGACGAACTGTGGAATACGACAGTAAGAGAGGGCGAGGAAGCAACAATGGGAAATGTGAAGAGCGATGGAATGGAGCAAGTAGAAATGGTGAAAGCAAATGAGGAGACAAAAAAATGGGGAATCTACAGAAAAAGAAAAAGATCATCTGATCTCAACCTCTGCAGAGCATGAGGCCAAGAACCGTACAGACGTTCGCCTCGTCGGAGTGAAGCATTTCAAGAAGATCCTGAATACTACAGAGGATTATGGAGTTTGCTTTATCAGTGGGGACGAAGTAGAGTTAGTGGTCAATTCCGTTGACGCCGTCGGTGAGGGAGCAGAAAAGGTCCCAGAGAGATACCGCGCGCTGATAGAGGAATTCGCAGACTCCGTCTTCGCCGACTTGAACAAACTTCCCCCACACCGTCACGTTGATCATCGCATCGAGACTGGCTCGGCCCTCCCTATCGCCATGCCGGTGCGGAGGATGTCGCCTGAGGAACTGGATGCATTAAAGGAGCAATTAGAAGAGCTGCAGAAAGAAAGGCTTCATTCGGCCCAGTATTTCCCCTTGGTCAGCGCCGTTGTATTCGCTAGGAAGAAAGACGGAAGCCTCCGTCTGTGTGTAGACTACCGCGCGCTCAATGCAATTACCGTCAAGAATAAGTACCCTCTGCCACTCATTGATGAATTCTTCGACCGATCTCAGGTGCAACCGAGTTTTCTAAACTCGATTTGCAATCAGGCTTCAATCAGATTCGAGTTAACCCCAGCGACGTGGAAAAGACCGCTTTTGGTACCCGCTATGGTCACTTTGAATATTTGGTGATGCCTTTTGGTTTGACTAACGCACCTGCGTCCTTCCAGGGGATGATGAATGAAGTTCTGCAAGGCGGTCTAGATAAATTTTGTTTAGTCTTCATGGATGATATCCTGTATTCAGTCGCAACCCTGAGGACCATAAGGAACATTTGCGTTGGGTACTTGAACGTCTGGCGAAATATCAACTTAAGGTCAAGATGTCCAAATGCGAATTCGGCAAGCCTGAACTCCTCTTCTTAGGCCACGTTGTGAGCGGTGAAGGCTTGAAAGTCAACCCCTCAAAGACAGAAAGCATCCAATCATTGACGGCGCCCACCAATGTTCAAGAGGTTCGTCGATTTTTAGGTATGGCTGGCTACTACCGCAAATTTATTAAAAATTATGCCTCTCGGGCCGCTCCCCTCACAGATCTCACAAAAGAAAAAGACAACAACAAAATCAAGACCAGACCTCTCCCCTCGCCGTGGGGCGAGAGAGAACAAGCTGCCTTCGACGACCTCAAGCAAGCCCTCGCCTCAGCTCCCGTTCTACGCCTTGCCGATTTTTCTCACCCCTTTTTCATCGAGACTGATGCGTCCCCACTGCCATTGGTGCCGTCCTGAGTCAGGACTTTGGTTCAAACGGCCGGAAGGAAATGCACCCTATCGCTTTCATGTCGAGGAAATTAGATGAGGGTCAGCAGAAATGGCCAACACATGAGCGCGAATTGTATGCAATTGTGCGCGCTTGCGACGAATGGCGTACTTATATCCAGGGCAGAACAGTCAACATCTTGACCGACAATCACAGTTTGGTGTTCTTAAAACGACAAAAAGGCATGAGCAGACGCATGGCGGGATGGAGCCAACACATGGAGCAACAAGATCATGTTATCATCTATCGTCCGGGCAAGGATAATCCTGTTGCCGATGCTCTTTCTAGGCCTAATGAGGAGAATACCAAGGACGTCACCTGCAACTTCATGGAACTCGCCAACGGGGAGCTCGGAATAAAAGAGAGTAATGCAAAAGTCAAGGTAGTGTTCTAGGGGGATCTAAGGGTGCAATAAAGGTATCTTTATTCAGGGGGAACTATGCTACAGAACTAGATAGAAAAGTAGACCTATTTATACTAGTTAATATCCTGTTGCAAGGAATGCTCTAGAAATATGGGCGAAATACTATGTTGCACAAAATTATTATAGTGATTTCGCTTGCATCCTCTAGTGCACAGGCCAAGACGAACCAGGTTTCTAATCCGCGCTCATGTTGATTCCGTCATGGTAAAGTACTGGAAATCATCAGCATTGCCTAGAACGTGCCCTGTGTGTCTATAAAAGTACACGATTCGGAGTTGCTTCCTTCCGTTCTTGGTTGCATATTCGGGATCCTCGCTGTCGTCTTTCATGTTGTGAACTGTGAGCTTTGCTGTACAACCGACTTTCTGGCTAGGCTTTAAGACGCGTCTTCTTTTCTTTCCCTTGGTTCTTGCCCTGGGTCGAGAGAGACACCTTGAAGAGAGCCTTGAGAAGCCTTTTGGATGCGACTTCCGCCTCGTGAATCTTGTCCACGATGGCATTCGTAGGTTTCAACATAAAAGACCTTGCTTCTACCGCCTGGCTGATTATCTTGATGTTTGCGTAACATCCAAGTAAAAAAATGATCACGACCGTCTCGTTCGAGCCATGAGTCGAAGTCCTCCTTGTCTACGTAAAAAACACGAGGCTTGTAGTCGTACTGAGTGGTGCAGGTTTTCCTTACAATCTCATCTATCACGGCATCATCAACAGTTGACTTGATCCATTGATAGTCTTGCAATTGAGGGGATAAAAGTTCGGTTGTTATTTTATTGACATTTGCATCGACCCCCCTGTTTAGCTCTGGACTCTCTAAGCCATCTGGTACGAGTGGGCTTTCCGCGATATCAGGATTTGCTAAAGGATGGATGCTACTAGCCTCACCAAGTGCTGCAGGTGTTTCATGCTCTGTCTCCGACCCGGAATCCGACGCATCGCTCGAATAGTCATTACAGTCAGAATCCGGCTCCTCACTCAGACAATCAACGTCAGAGGCAAGCTCTTCTAGGTCATCAGCACTATGTATTTCGTTTAATTCATCATCCAATAAGCTAAAGGTAGCATATTCTGAGCTCTACAAAGAACATAGTAACGAGAAATTGAGATAAAAAAATAAGCTGTGTGAGCATTTATTATTGACAGAAAAATAACATTGTCAACATACCATGGTGTTTGTTCGAAGATGTTCTATTAATGTGCTTGAAATGATCTAATTGAATGCTGAAATAAAATACACTTGTTAACCTACATTCAAAATTCAGTGATTCATTCAACATTCAACGCGCGACGGCAAGATGCGCTTACAATTGTGTATAGCGAAAAGTGAATATGGGAGTGGAGGGGAGAAGTGCAAAGCATAAAAAAAAAAAGATGACGTATTAGAATCGCTTTTATCACCCCCCTTAACCCAGGGAATTCGGACAATAAAGGGGGGTGTTGTGCCGGATTTTGCGAAATTTTGTGGATCGGTAGCCCTGAGTAACAGATCCCAGTATTTGAGGAGCTATGGACGTTTAAAGTTCCCGGTCGAGAGTAAGAAAATATTTTATCATAATAGCACGTGACTGAACACTAAGCTGCAATATGGCCCAGAATATCCTCTTTCGAGTAATCTAGGCCCCAGGTCTCTGGTCCCAGTATTTGGGAGGTTATGGGTCTCCAAAGTGACTGATCGAGAGAAAATTTTCGTGTCCACGTGCTGTGGTAAGTGCAATGTTCAGAATCTGCATTTAGGGTGGGTGCAATGGGGATTTTGCCAAATTTTTCAAATTTAGTATGCTGATATAGCCGAGCATTCCTATCGATTGATGTAGGAACCAGGTCCTAGGAGCCAGTATTTGAGGATTTATAGTCCTTCAACTTGACCGGTCGAAAGAAAAATAATTTTTTTTATGGTAGCAGAGCTTCTTCCAAGTGCAACCATCCTACGTCCCCTACATGCACCTATTCAGAGCCTGGCGCTGTCAGTCCACGCTTACGTACTCATATAGTCACACTAAAATAAGGAAACATGCCCTCTACGTCATCCCGCAGAGACCATTTTTCAGGGGCCTTTTTTTTCTTTTTTCTCACGATATTTTATTCTTCCTTGTCCTCCATCATTTTTCATTTTCTGCCTTTGTCTTCCTCTGCTCTTCCACACACATTCACATTGACATTGACCATTGACATTCACATTCGCATTTACATTCACATTCGCACTCACATTCACATTCATATTCTCATTCGTCGCCTTCTTTCATCAGCTTATTCTCTTCTTACTCTTTCATCTTATTTTCCCTCCCTGCTTTCCAGTGCTGCTGCGGCTATTTCTCTGTAAGTTTTCTTGTCCTTCTTGCCTAATTAACACCGAGAGAAGCTTTGAATCTCCGGGTATGTAAAAGAGTTGACACTGTGCGTTGCCGTGGACGGGATGGGGATAAGCACCAAAATTTTTTTAATTTGAACAAATTACCCACCGTTTGTTACTTTTTCCATTTCTGTTCAACTTCACCCTTTCATTTATTTCGATTTCTTTTTTATTTTTTTGCATGTGAATTCCATGTTGCAAAGCTCCTTGCCCATCCTCTTCAAATTTTTGCCCCGTCCATTGCTGTATTTTTTGCCCTGTCCTTTGCTGTTATTTATTTTAATCTCGAACCCGCTCTTTTCTTCATTTTTTGCACTCGATTAACTTCACTGCAGTTCAGACCATTTTCAGGGGCATTTTCTTTTCTTTTTTTTTTTTTTTTTTTTTTTTTTTTTTTTTTTGTTTCACACGATGTTTTGTTTTTCTTTGTTCTCAATGCCTTCCACCCTCTTTCTTCTTTTCCTTCTCCGCATCTTTCTTTCCCTCTTTCCAAAATATTACGTCTTTGTCTCTTCATTGTTTTCATTGTCAGTCTTGACAGCATCGTTTTATTCTTCTGGTACACCCTTCTTTTTTCTTTTTTTCAACGCTTTTTCTTTATTGCTCCACCGCTTTTTTCCCTTACATCATTGGACGTCCTCTCGTTCAACTTCTGTTTTTCCCTTTGCTCTCCAGCAACTTGTTTGACCTGAACAGTTTCATAATCACCAAAAAACACTTTTCCCACCAGACACAGTATTATTTTAACACCCCTTTTTCGAAGTTGCAAAAAAAGTTCCTTGCAAGCGAAATTACATCACAAATTTGTGCAACAGTATTTCCTCTAATTTTCTGGAGAATTCCTTCAGCAGGAAATTAGCTGCAATAAATAGGCCCACTTTTCCATCTAGTTCAGCAGCACAATTCGCTTGAATAAAGACACCTTTTTAGTACCCTTAGATTCCCCTCGAGCACCTTGACATTAGCAGCTCTTCTTTGTGCTGTTTAAATTTCACTATCCGCCCTATTTTTTTTTTTGTGCTGTTTAATTTCCACTATCCGCCTTATTTTTTTTTTTGTGCTGTTTAATTTCCACTATCCGCCTTATTTTTTTTTTTGTGCTGTTTAATTTCCACTATCCGCCCTATTTTTTTTTTTGTGCTGTTTAATTTCCACTATCCGCCTTATTTTTTTTTTTTGTGCTGTTTAATTTCCACTATCCGCCCTATTTTTTTTTTTTGTGCTGTTTAATTTCCACTATCCGCCCTATTTTTTTTTTTGTGCTGTTTAATTTCCACTATCCGCCCTATTTTTTTTTTTTGTGCTGTTTAATTTCCACTATCCGCCCTATTTTTTTTTTTTGTGCTGTTTAATTTCCACTATCCGCCCTATTTTTTTTTTTTTGTGCTGATTCCACTATCCGCCCTATTTTTTTTTTTTGTGCTGTTTAATTTCCACTATCCGCCTTATTTTTTTTTTTGTGCTGTTTAATTTCCACTATCCGCCCTATTTTTTTTTTGTGCTGTTTAATTTCCACTATCCGCCTTATTTTTTTTTTTTGTGCTGTTTAATTTCCACTATCCGCCCTATTTTTTTTTTTGTGCTGTTTAATTTCCACTATCCGCCCTATTTTTTTTTTTTGTGCTGTTTAATTTCCACTATCCGCCCTATTTTTTTTTTTTTGTGCTGATTCCACTATCCGCCCTATTTTTTTTTTTTGTGCTGTTTAATTTCCACTATCCGCCCTATTTTTTTTTTTGTGCTGTTTAATTTCCACTATCCGCCTTATTTTTTTTTTTTTGTGCTGTTTAATTTCCACTATCCGCCCTATTTTTTTTTTTTGTGCTGTTTAATTTCCACTATCCGCCCTATTTTTTTTTTTTGTGCTGTTTAATTTTCACTATGCGCCCTATTTTTTTTTTTGTGCTGATGCCACTATCCGCCTTATTTTTTTTTTTGTGCTGTTTAATTTCCACTATCCGCCTTATTTTTTTTTTTGTGCTGTTTAATTTCCACTATCCGCCTTATTTTTTTTTTTGTGCTGTTTAATTTCCACTATCCGCCTTATTTTTTTTTTTTTGTGCTGTTTAATTTCCACTATCCGCCTTATTTTTTTTTTTGTGCTGTTTAATTTCCACTATCCGCCCTATTTTTTTTTTTTGTGCTGTTTAATTTTACTATGCGCCCTATTTTTTTTTTTGTGCTGATGCCACTATCCGCCTTATTTTTTTTTTTGTGCTGTTTAATTTCCACTATCCGCCTTATTTTTTTTTTTGTGCTGTTTAATTTCCACTATCCGCCCTATTTTTTTTTTGTGCTGTTTAATTTCCACTATCCGCCCTATTTTTTTTTTTGTGCTGTTTAATTTCCACTATCCGCCTTATTTTTTTTTTTTGTGCTGTTTAATTTCCACTATCCGCCTTATTTTTTTTTTTGTGCTGTTTAATTTCCACTATCCGCCCTATTTTTTTTTTTGTGCTGTTTAATTTCCACTATCCGCCCTATTTTTTTTTTTGTGCTGTTTAATTTCCACTATCCGCCTTATTTTTTTTTTTTGTGCTGTTTAATTTCCACTATCCGCCTTATTTTTTTTTTTGTGCTGTTTAATTTCCACTATCCGCCTTATTTTTTTTTTTTGTGCTGTTTAATTTCCACTATCCGCCCTATTTTTTTTTTTTGTGCTGTTTAATTTTCACAATGCGCCCTATTTTTTTTTTTGTGCTGATGCCACTATCCGCCTTATTTTTTTTTTTTGTGCTGTTTAATTTCCACTATCCGCCTTATTTTTTTTTTTGTGCTGTTTAATTTCCACTATCCGCCCTATTTTTTTTTTTTGTGCTGTTTAATTTACAATGCGCCCTATTTTTTTTTTTGTGCTGATGCCACTATCCGCCTTATTTTTTTTTTTTGTGCTGTTTAATTTCCACTATCCGCCTTATTTTTTTTTTGTGCTGTTTAATTTCCACTATCCGCCTATTTTTTTTTTTTGTGCTGTTTAATTTCCATATCCGCCTTATTTTTTTTTTGTGCTGTTTAATTTCCACTATCCGCCCTATTTTTTTTTTTGTGCTGTTTAATTTTCACTATGCGCCCTTATTTTTTTTTTGTGCTGATGCCACTATCCGCCTATTTTTTTTTTTGTGCTGTTTAATTTCCACTATCCGCCTTATTTTTTTTTTGTGCTGTTTAATTTCCACTATCCGCCCTATTTTTTTTTGTGCTGTTTAATTTCCACTATCCGCCTTATTTTTTTTTTTGTGCTGTTTATTCCACTATCCGCCCTATTTTTTTTTTGTGCTGTTTAATTTTCACTATGCGCCCTATTTTTTTTTCATTTGCCGCTGCTTTGCTTCCACTAACCCATTCTTCCTTTGTTTTAGTTCGAAAGAGTAACCGCTACATGAAACATGGATCAACGCGAAACCCACTCACGTTCCTGGAACTGTTCAATTTGCCCAAAGGTCTTCGAAAAAAGAATACATCTAAAGAGACACATGACGACTATCACAAGGGAGTATTAACATTACACTTTCCAATTCTTATGGCATCAACGAAAGCTTGCACGTGTCCCGTTTGAATGGGTTATTTCTTGCCCTTTTTGCAAAAAGGCAATTAAAACGAGGAAAGGAATCAAGGAGCACATTTCCAAAAACTGTGAACTAATACCATTGAAAATCATCAATAACGCTCCTGATCAAACATCTTTGCATGATCACCCAAATGCTACAGCAAAGGAAGGCGTCATCAACGGTCCTGACCCAGCATCTTTGCATGATTACCCAAACGTTTCAGCAAATGGGGGCATCGAGGAGCAAAGCCAAGCACAACTTGAAAGAATCGTCTTGAACCAACAAGAAATCAAGAGTCTCACTACTCCTTCAACCAATCCACTAAGTTCGGCTTCACTTTCTTCGCCTGCTACATCCAGCTCTCATTGGGAGAACTCGTCTACAGCAACAACCGACCAAAAAAAACGTTCCTTCAGGGAGCTAGCTTTGGAAGCATCAGAGCAAAGTCATGGCTCGCAAACTGAAAAAAAAAAAGCATTGCTCTTTGTTGAATTATTAGAGGCAGTTCCCATCGTTGTAAAAAACAATCAAGGGGATGAAGAGGTTCTTCTTGCACATGTGAAGAACTGGAGCGACTTTCTTCCAATGGGCCCTTTTCTATCACCACCGAAAGAGCATTGCCCGACAATATACTGCCGATGTGCAATGTTCCAAATGCCAACCTTCTCAAGCACCAGATTTGAAAAGTATTTCAGAGTTCACATACGCTTCAATTCTTGAACAGAGGAAGTACTTGAGCTGGACAAGAAAGTAAGCCAATTTCTAAATGAAGACTGGCTCTAGAGAGTACAGCACGGAGATGTGCATGTGCCAAGATCCTTGCAGGATGCATACTAGTGAAAACCACAGCAAGCAATTCCCATGCCCTCTTAATAAATTGCATCGAAGTGTATGGACGAAAGAAGCATATCGATGTTCATGTGTGAACCGTTCCAGTCTCCAAAGGGATCGCCACTAAAACATCAACTCCAGGAAGTCACGAGCACCGATATGTGGGCGTGTATCCAACAACAATGCATTCAAACGATGGTGAGAGGTTAGTAATCGGAACTCACACAATGAACGCCCTTGTCACATCAATCAATCCGCATTGACCGAAAAGAGAAACCATCCGTAGGCGGCAAAACTCTTTCTTCTTGATTGAAGATGAAAGGACTCATTCAACACAAGGATTTATCTTGACAGGAATCCATCGATAGAGCAATGGAGATTGCAAGTGACAAGGACGTTTGGTATAGCGAGCATGAAAATAAAGTGGAGCAAATCCGTCAAATTCGAAGCAAATTGACAAGCTACAATCATACCTCCTTTGTCGAGCATGGGGCCCATTAACTCCAAGTCACTTAATGCAGCCCTACAGCATCTTCACTCTTGTGAGTAACTACAGCTCAGAAAAGGAGCAGACGGGCCGCAGCGCATTTGTTCAACCAGATTGCAGTCAGTGTATTATCGAAGAAGGAATTTGCGAAATTGGAGCACTCTGTCTACAGGAATCTCTGCGTTATGTAAGAAACCAAGTCAAATTTCAGAAATTTTGAGCAGCATCAACACTGAATCAATGGAGAGCAAACAATTCCCATAATCGGGAATGAAGAGCTTAACAGGAATCAAAAAGAGCTTGCACAGCTTCTTGTATCAGGCTACATTGAACCGGCCAACAAAAAATCGATAACATTCATTGAAAAACGATTTTCTGCATGACACTCCAAAAAATTTCGCAGTCTTATTGGAGTCCCTTAGACCTGCGAGAAGAGGTAATAAACTTCCGCCTCTGAAATTTAATTTGCTTAATTCGAATAAATATCGAATTCCCTTAGATGTGGTACCATTAAGGGTGATAATAAAGGCGATTCTAATACGTCATACTTTTTTTTTTTTTTTTTTTTTTTTTTTTTTTTCACGCAGAAATGCGATCTTGATAATCAATTCTTCTTATACACCTCTGTCTCTCCAGGTAAAAATCGTTGATAATATTCAGCTCGCAACTGTTGCCATTACGCGTCGAATGTTGAATGAACTCTGAATGTAAATCAACATGTGTATTATTTAGATCATTTCATCGAACAAGCATTATGGTGCGGAGGCAATGTTACCTTATCAATAATATATATTTGCACATATATTAATCACTCTCGGTTCTCCTTGACCTTGCTTTCTGTGTAGAGTGCAGAAGTTATTGAGGATAGTCGTTGATGATGTAGATGAAATAGATCGCGCTGATGATCTAGAAGAATTCGATTCTGACTGTGAGCATGGGAGCGAGGAATCAGACTCTGACCGGGACTCGTGGAACGTTGACTACAATGACTATTCGAGTGGGGCTTCGGATTCCGACCCAGAAATAGAGCCTGAATCATCTGCAGCTCCTGTTGAAGCCATTAGCATCCATCCTTCTGCGGATTTTGGTACCGGGGAAAGCTCACTTATGCCGGGTGGCTCAGAGAGTCCAGAACTAGACGAGAGTGTCATTGCGAAGGCCAATGAAATAGCAACTGAGATTTGTGCTCGGAGGTGCATGATTACCAATGGATTAAGTCGACTCTCGATGATGAAAACGATCAAAGACATTGTAACGACTCCCGTACAGAACCGTATGACTATCTGCCCCGTATTTTTTACGTGAACGAGGAGGACTTCAGCGCTTGGCTTGAACAGGAATAGTCGCGATCTTTATTTTGTTTGGATGCGCCGTGTACATCGAGATAATAAGGCAGATGGCAGAAGCAAATACTTTTATTTTCAAACCTACGAATGCCACCCTAACCATGACTCGCGAGGCCAAAATCGCGTTCAAACCGCTCATCAAGACTCCCCTCAAGACTCCTCTCAAGATTCCCCTCAAGACCCTGGGCAGGAACAAAGGCAAAAGAAAAGGAGGCGCGTCTTTAAGAAGAGCCAAAAAGTCGGATGTAGAGCCAAGCTTCTAGTCCACAACATGAAAGACGATAGTGGGGATCCCGAATTAGCAATGAAGGAGGGAAAGAAGCAACTCCGTATCACGTATTACTATAAGCATACAGGCCATGTCCTCGGTGATCCTAATGATTTTCAGTATCTCAACTCAGTGCTCCTAATCGATTCGATACAACCGAAATTGAATGGATTGAATGCATTCGATTCGGTTTCGGCTCAGGGTAAGTTTGTACCGAAATTGAATGCTCCATTCCTGTATCGAATCGAATGAATCGAATGTGTTTGAATGATACCCCTAATGTGTAGCATGGGTCGTATGATTATATCGAAACCGTTTACCGAATGTATCGAAACCGTTTACCGAATGTATCGAAACCGATTTACCGAATGCATCGAAGCCGATTTTTTAGCGCATCGAATGTATCATGCACTATTTAATACGACTATATCGGCTTTTTGAATAAAAAACTTGACAGGTTAGAATGGGCTTACACAATTTGTGCGCCACGTACATTCGACTAACGTTCAAATGTTGGAAATATATTTAAGTTTTGACTTATCACTTACACTATCATGCAAAACTGATTCAATAATTCATTCCCATGTGCATTTCTTTTTTTCATTCCTAGAAACCGTATATGCATACACCACTCATACTTTGGTTTAATAAAGCTCCCGTCTTCTTCTACGTCATAGTGATGCGTTGTGACATTAGCTTGTCTCATTTGAATAGCTAATGGCTTTTTTGTTCATGCAGGTCATTGAATCAGTTCACATGTGCCCATTCGGTGGCCAAAGATCTTTATTCTTTTGTGAGCCATAACCTTACATCAATAGATAGTATTCCAACCATGGGCATCACTGACAGCTTGCAGTCTCTTATGGATACCTATGATGAGTTTGCGGCAGAAGTCCACTGGGATCCTGTACCATTCAACCGATATTCGCTCCCATAGTTCATCACAGCTCTTAGCTCGCTCCGGATACCTAGAGAGCCGCCTATCCAATTCTGCCCACATGTGTTCAATAGGGTTGAGGTAAGGGGATTGTGCTGGCCACTCTAGAAGTGTACCTTCCTCTTCTGTCAGATGTACTGACTCCAAATACTTCGTAACAATCTTCGCCGTGTGCTTCGAGTCATTGTCGTGCTGAAAAACGATATCGCTTTTAGTTAGGCCCCAGTCATCAAGCGACATCTGTAGATCCTCCTGGAGTAGTTTGATGTAAAGTTGTGCGCCCATATTATTGTCAATCTTTGCAATGTATCCAGGTCCGTACCATGAGAAGCATGACCACACTTTAACGTTACCACTCCCAAACTTGACAGTGCCTTGCACCGACCTGCGAGTGAGGCGTCCCGGAGTGTCGTCCCAGATCCACTGCACGCCATCAGAGCAGATTCGGTTTATTTTCGATTCATCTGACCAAATAACCTTTTTCCAATCTTCCAGAGTCAATTCCTTATACTAATTGATAAAATGCAAACGAGCTTTAATATGCCGTCGACGTAAAGCTGGCTTATGTACACGCCTCTTTGCTGTCAATCCTAACTCCTTGAGCCGTCGTCTAACGGTGGTCTCAGAAACAGCCGCTGGTATGAGCTGGTTGGCTCTGACGGTGGCCTCAACTGCAGACTTGAGTGTACCTCGTTTCATGTTCACCTTAAGATACTGCATGATACCTCTAGGTACTTTCCTTGGTCGACCGCCTTTATTGACTGGCATGTACTCCTTATTATGTGCATAGATCCTGGTGGCCGTCGCTATTGATATACCAACACTAGCAGCAGTTTCTCTAGTAGACATGCCTCCCATCATTAACCTCCTGGCTTCGTTGACTTTCCTTTGTGGAGTGGGTCTCATATTCTGTGAAGGTATAGTTAAGAGAGAGTTAAGCAAGTGTTCATAAAGGAAAGAGAGAAAAGTCCTTTTTTTACTGGCATTAAATGACGTCCAAAAGTTGTCATGGGCAACATTTTAGACCACATGTGAAACTGATTCAATGACCTGCATGAACAAAAAAGTCATTAGCTATTCAAATGAGACAAGCTAATGTCACAACGCATCACTATGACGTAGAAGAAGACGGGAGCTTTATTAAACCAAAGTATGAGTGGTGTATGCATATACGGTTTCTAGGAATGAAAAAAAGAAATGCACATGGGAATGAATTATTGAATCAGTTTTGCATGATAGTGTATAACGAATGTATACAGAACTATAGCAACTAATTTATGGGAGAACATTCATCCAAGAGTCCAGGATGACCAAGCGCTGGATCGTCGTAGGGCTAAGGCTATTTCTTTCAGGTGGCAGGAAGAACTTGGCTTGCGAAAAGCATCTTTCTGCCGGGGTTGATGTCACAGGGACTGCAAGATAGTCCTTTGCCATATTCGCCAAATTGGGCAAGCGCTCCTTTTGTGATCGCCAGTACACTAACTCTGGAGGCTCATGTTTACTAGCAACTAGAGAACTTCCTTCTCAAACGTATAATTCAAGCTCTCCACCTTTTTTTCTTGATACCATAGCGTCTCATCTCCATTTCTTCTTCAGCTGGGAGCTGACTTGGGCCTTCTTTGCCCTTATATTCATCTTCCCAGACCTTCGTTACCATGTCTTGGCTGCTTTGAATATATTCACCCCATTCGTTAGCTTCCCACCAGTCAAACCGCATCCTCGGGTCCATAGCAGTGGCGACGGCATAGACCGCTGAGGAATCAGTTTTAGAATAATAACGCAAAAGCTTCTTTAACCCTTGACCTGCTGCGTTTTTTAGTGGAGGATCCTCTTCTTTTTCAATATAATCTTCTAGGTGGTCGATCATGTTGTTGTAAGCAGACATGGCTCTGTTGATTGTCGGGTATCCCAGGCTAGAAGACACCGTCGCTGTGATATCATTAAACTGGCTAAGCAAAATATGGAGCTTCTTCAGGTATCCCCATTCTTCGTCTTTCAGGGAGAAGGCCGATAAAAACGGTTTGTTCTGGCACATGCTCTGGTAGGCTAGCCTTAACGTTATTGCCCTATCCACCATGATGAAAGTAGAGTTCCAACGTGTGCAGTTATCCCTTTTCAGTTCAAGGTTTGGGCATTTCAGGATAGCGCAGACCTGGCCAAACTTGTCAATTCTTTGTGGCGAAGCTCTATGTATAAGTCGATATAAAAGGTATTTTATAGTTAGGTTTCATGATTCAAGTTTATATTTGCAGTCAAGATTATATAGTAATACTGACCTGATCTTAACAATGCCTTTTCTGAGTTTCTGTAATGTACTCAGCGTTACAAGCGTTAACCCAACCGCATCCTCACACTCATTGTTGTTCACGTAGAGACTGTCATTTTCAGGAGCCAAGTCATTCAAACCACTTGGACCCAAAATCGCCTGAACTGCCAGATTAATGATGTGTCCAAGACATGGCACATGGTATAAGCCATCCTTGAGCGACCTAATGTTTTTTATTTTTATTTATTTTTATTTTTTTTAAAAGAAGCGTTAGAGATAACTCATTACTAGATGCGCTAGCATTATTGAAAGTGACTGAGAATTACCATTCTACTGCCTTGGGATGCTTTTCAAGCTCTCGGATCATTTTGGACATATTTGACGCATTGTCGGTGGTGATACTTAGAAGCTTGTCACCAATTTTAAATCGATCGATGACCTTAGCCAGAGATTCCGCTAAGTTCTCACCTGTATGCGCTCCATACAATGGCTCAAATCCAATGACCAGCTCTTGTTGGCGCCAGTCATGATCAATCCAGTGAGCTGTTACCCCCAGGAAGTTGTCTTGGAAAGGGCTTGTCCAGCCATCAACGGTCAGTGATACCTTGTTAATATCCTCAAATAAGCTTATGACTTGATGCTCCATGTATTGGTATTTTAGCTTAGCCTATTTTTAATCCATCTTTTTGTCAGTGTTTGGTTGATGTTTGTTGTAAAAAAAAAATAATAATTGAAGAGTAATAATAATAATAATAATCATAATCATAGTAATAATAGTTTTACCTTGGTTGCCATGGTGTCATCAGACGGTAGCTTTACTTGAGATGCTGTAGCCATTGTAGCATGGACTAGAAGCTCCTGGAGAGCAGTGCTTTTGACAATCGTAAATGGCTGCTTTGTTGTGATAACGAATCGGACAAGCAATTCGTCAAATCTCGTAGGGTCAAATACTTTTGGCTGAGAAAATGAATTAAGCATCTTGTCCATCGGGCCTTGCTTGGAGAGACTGCCATCATTGGCATTGCTATCTTTAGTGATGCGATGTACTCGCCACAGATGCTGGATGACCCCTGAAGTTGACATATTCGATGAACCAAAGGTTTTCCCGCAGCTAGGGTAACAGCAGCGCATACCAGAGCCACTCTTAGTTTTAACACGCTCGGCCCACTTGTTCTTCAGTGACCACGCCCAGCTTCGGTTGATCGCCGTGCTGCTTGCCACGCTGGAGCTTCCCACGCTCCTCGTCACTAAGCTCTCATTCATCACGCTGCCGCTCATCACGCTCTCCATATCCATATCGTTGTCAGGTGCAAACGTGTTATACAATACTGACTCAAACCTTTGAGGAGGGCTCAACTATCACGCGCACCCCAGGCGCCAAGACGCCAAGCCCAAGTGCCAAGACACCAAGCCCCAACCCTATTAATTATCAGTATAAATAGTCCACTACGTTATAGCCAAATAAAGTATCCTTTGACCTTCGATTCCACCTAAGATCACCTTTGATTGTTACTATTTACATGGTAGCAATGGTTCATCGAACCACCGACCCCGCCAGAAACCGCTTATATTTCCCTCTGATATTTTTCCCTAGATCCCTCTGATATTTTCCTAGATAAAATTTAAAAATTTACCCCTGCATTTGATTTTTTTTTTTTTTTTTTTTGCCATGGACAACCTCACCACTTCCTTGAAAGCTCTTAACCTTGATGCCAGTACCAGCCTATCCGTGCAGAACGCTGTGCAAACCTTCCTCGAATCCCGACAGGATAGTGCTTCTAGCGCTGCCGCCTTTAATGACCATGTCCGCACGGTGGCTGCTGTGATAAAACCTACCAAACCAGAACCATACGAGGGAAATGTCGACGCTGTCGCGGTCCTCAACTTCTTGGAGAACCAAGAAGAGTACTTCGAGATCATGGAGCTTAACCACTCCCGTTGGGTCCGATATACCGTTGTCAACCTGAAAGGAGACGCCAAGGCATGGTGGCGAGACTCGGAAATGACAATTGATACACCATGGGACACTTTCCGAAGTAAATTCATCGAAAACTTCACACCCCCTGACACGGCTACTTCAGCCCAGAAAGCACTGGTTCAATTAAAACAAGGTAAATCCTCAGTAGCGGAATACACTGCCAAATTCCGCCGCCTCCAACGCCTCACACCCAAACTGGAGGAATCATGGCTTGTCCTCCATTATACCTACGGCCTTGTAGAAGACACAAGCAA